TTCAATCCTGACTTATCCTTCTATGTTTACATACGGTGGCCTCATCAAAGTTAATAGTCAAAATCCCATCAGCTCTAATGAAGTTAAGATATCATGATGTATGCTTTACGTGTGATTCTTACTCACAAATCAGAATTCTTCACTCATATCGGTTGTGGCATTTTATTCCTTGAGCAGCTTTACTTTGTGCTGTCAAAGCCTATGCTGTCTTCCACTGTCTTCCTAACATATTTTATGTAATGCCTGGGTGTATTGCACAAATCTAAAATTTATAAGGTTTGGATCATGAAGTTAAAAATCGACTAGCGAACACAAAAAGCTTTGTAACAAATAAAGCTCATGTGTGCTGAAGTTACATACTTAGGGAGAACAACTAGTTTTCAGCTTCCCTTTTCTTTACAGTAACATAAAAATGTGGCTGTTGACCTCCCCCCTCTGGACAAATTTGGTAGTAGAATGTAAGCAGTATTTCATGAAATAAAAAAGCACTTCTGATTTTTTTATAATTTTTTTCTTTCAAAACTGTTGATAGCTTTTGCATGCAGTACATTTAAATAACCATTTTACTTATGCTTTCTGTGTAAATATTGCTTCCTTAACTACGTGAATATTATTTGTATCTAGTTAAGCTTTTTGTGCTCTGGGATTAGATTCCGGTTCCAGAAAGGCATCAGTAATTACCCAGTGTATTATCTTGCCCTGACAAGACAGAACAAAGAATTTGAATTCCCTGTAGTAATTTGGGCCACTTCCTGACCTTCAGGGTCTTCTTTTGCCTAACTGGTTTGATCTGAGCTTTAAATATTTTTGTTTGCTATCTATAGTTCACAAAGACAGAACTGATGGACCAAAGGTTAGATTCAGTAACCATTTTAAATATCAAAGTTCACACAGTGCTGTGAAGAGTATCAGCCTGGGAGACGCCTCGCCAAAAAGAACAGTGAAGTTCAGTTATGTACTTAAAGACGACCCCAAATATTTCAGTAAACTCTACTATGCTGTTATCCCTAGTTTGAAAGCTGTGGCTGTGTATTTCATATCCTGCTTTAATAGAATGTTTATTTCAGACAGGCAAACAAACTAATTAGCTGTTAAATACTCCTGTGCACCGTATCAATTCAGCTACTCCGTTACTAATTTAGTATACATAAACATGTTGGAGATTCATTAACCACATTTGTCTCCATTTCAATATAATAAGACTTATCACAAATACAACTGACAATGAAAGGAAATGACAGAGGCCTCAGAGATCTGCCAGAGATGTCTACAGTCGATACAGTTTTTGTGATTTATTCTTTGGATCTTTTTAGCCAGTACAGTTTCTTCCTGGCCCAATGGCAGGCAATGTTTTTACATGGATTATAGACAACAACAGTAATGAAAAATGTCAATAGCAACTTTAAGTTATTTAATAACAAATAATGCGTATAGTTATGTAAACTCATTTGTTCAGCTAAGTCTAAATTAGCAACTTAAAAGTGCAAGCACTATATAGTGATTGCTATCAGAAAGTTAAAAAATGACTTGCAGTGTCATAGTCCTCTCTTTAAATTTATAGGGCAATTTAGTATTAGGGTGAACCTTAGATGCAGCACCATCTTTTCTAGGTCCTCGTAGATTAAAGCTTTCTGTTATCCTTTGGTCAGTAGGCAATTTTTTAAAATAGCCCCCCTCCCTGCCTCTCTTTTAAAATGAAGTGGAATATGTGACCTTGCCTGATGAAATGTGCATTTGTCATCATGTTCTGGGACTAGGTATATTCTTTTTGTTATTGTTTCAAAAATAATTAAGCCAACTCCATGGTCCATGACATTGAAGACAAAGAAGCCTCAACTGATCTTGGAAAAAATTACCTTCCATTTATAGAATATGGAACTATCTTTAGTATTTATAATCTCACAACTGGAAAGTTATATATTTAGCTATATTGCTACTCAAACAACATCAGGACAGAGCTCTGTTTTATTTTTTCAATTACTGTAGATTGGCTAAACTAAGAAAAAAATTTTTTCCAAACTTCCACCCCTGTAATCTGAACATGGGATTTAAGATTTTTGGCTCAGATAGCATCAGTAGCATTGTTCATTAAGTTCTGAAATGCATATAAAAATATGCATGTTCTTAGATATTTCCAAAGTCCAATTAATTCAAATTTAGGAGCCAAAATAGGAGTATGAAAACTAAGTATTTTCTTGAATCTAGGTTTAAATGTGGAAACAAATTTTGCCTTCTTTACCACCTCTGTAATATTTTTGCCCTGAAGTTAGGATTGTAGTTAATGTTGGCGATCTAATTTCCAATAGAACTACAAGCCCAAGCGCACGTTCACATAAGCATCCTAGGAATTACTGCTTTTACAGCAATCTGTCCCATTTTCCTGCCCCAAGACAAGATTAACTTTGTTCAGGCCTAACCTCTCTTTGAGCTTCGAGTGATGACAGCTCAATAAGCTCAGCGCTTAGCTTTTCCTCGTAATTATCTGGATCTTCCTTCCTGCAACATGTTGCTTCATCAGCACATAGTACCGCGCCCATCTTTGCAACAGCCAGCATGTAAAAAAGGAAGACTATCACACACACACGTCCCCTTCACTCAGGGTGACTTACTTCATTGTTGATGAATTCTCTGTAGCATCTGATTTGAATCTCCCAAACATCAAAATTAAATCTTTGTAACTTCACATCTTTTCTACATCTGAGAGGGAGAAAAAATGTAGTCTCTTCTCTGCAGCAATCTATAGCATAGTAAGGATGTCTGCCTCTCTCAGACTTTGCCTTAAACTAACAAACTCCTTCTCTCCAGTCTTTTCAGATGTCAGACTTTCTGGATTTGTGATTGATTTAATTGCTTTAATCCAGACTTTAGTTAGTGCACATCCTTCCTGAAGTGTCTAAAATTGGACACAGAATTCCAGCTGGGGCTTTAGCGGTTCCATACAAAGCAGGATTACCGCATGTGTCTTACATTACCTCAAGCGTTTGGACACCCCGGCACAGTGGTTCTCCTTGAGGCAAAAGCACAGCACTGTTGGCTAATGCTTATCTTCGGATTCACGGTAACTCCCAAATAATTTCTGTGGAACTGCTGTGTAACCAGTAGTTCTCCACCCTGAATGTACGCAGTTGGTAATACAGTGCTGGGTTTGTCTCTACTCGTTTGCATCCTGGTTTTTTTGTTGCTGTTTTTTGTTTTTAGAATGTGTCCCCCTGTTTGTCAAAATAATTCTGAACTCTAATCCTGTTCTCCAGAGCAGGTGCAGATTCTCCCAGCTTTTGAGAAAGGGGAAAACAAAGCTGGCCTTGAATTCTTCACAACTAAGTCATTATAAAAACACATTGGAAGAAAACATACGAGCTGTAAACTGCAAAAAAAGGTGACACCCATAGTTTGCACTCAAGCAAAAAGAGATCTTCACTGATCAGTGCCATCTCTAAAAGAGATGCATAAAACTTGCCGATGTAAATAAACAAACTGCATTTCTGTAACTGCATTGAAAACTGCATGGAACACTTAATGATTTTCCTTCAATCCTTTTAGAGGAGATTATGCAGTTATAAAAATGCCAATCACTCATTTTGAGTGACATAAATGCAAGGTAAAAATGACTGCATCTAGTAAAATCATAACTGAAATATAACTACTTATACACTTTATTTTTAAAATAGGATGTCACAAATAAGGCAAAAATACCACCTGATTTAAGTGTAATCATGATTCTGTGGTAACGCGTGACAGCAGTAGATGTTGGAATGCTTTATTAATCTAGTTATTTAGTACTTTAGGAATATGTTATGTTTCCTTTACTCGGGGCAGCAGTTAAACCTAACCTGGAGACAGAGAGATGGCTCAAGATCACCCATTCTGCCAGAAACACGCAGGAACGGTTCAGGGGAACAGCATTGCAGCGCACCGGGGATGAGAAGACTGGAAAGAGGGACTGCTTGCTTGGTTAACTGGGAGAGAGGGACTGCTTGCATGGTTAATTGGGAGTGAGGGACTGCTTACGTGGTTAATTGGGAGCGAAGCTCGGGCGCAGGCTTTGCTGTCCGAAGGTGCGTGTGGGGCGGGGGATAGCCCTGCCCTGAGGCACGCTGCTTGGAGGTGAGGGCCACGGGCAGGGAAGGCAGCGGGTGCTGCGGTGAGCGGGGTGAGCACAGGCGGCCCTGCGAGAACGGGAGCCAAGGGGCGGGGCAGGGAGGCCTACGGGAGCGCCTCACACAGAAGAAGCGGCTGATGCACGGACGCTTCGCCAGCTCGCCTCGGGCCGGGCGTTACCGGGCCTGGCCCTGGCCCGAGGGCGGGC